CCTATTTTGTCTTTGGGTGAATGGATAGAAGGATAAGAATTCTTGTATCTTTGATTAGTTGCCCTGAATAGAGCATTCTGGCAGATGTATCATGGTGTTTGGGGAGGGGATAAAAAAGCTGCACCTAGTTAAATTTTCTTTAACTATTAACAGTCAAGGAACTTCTTTTTTCTTCATTTTTCTCTGTGCACCTAACCTCATCTGAAAACATACTTTATGAATGTTAGTTTACATTTCTCATAAATATGGTTTTCAGAGAAAAGAGTGAGGAAAAGTACTCAGTGTAGGTTAAAATATGGCCACATGCTTTCTAAAAACTGGAATTCTTTGTTATTGCCAACACAAAAATGTTATTTCTTTTTATAGTCCAGTGTCACAGTCTTTTGGGTTTTATTGTGTTATCTTTCCTGAAATCATGTTCCATGCAAGTTCCTGGAGGAAGGCTCATAATTTGGAGTGCATCTTAAATTGGCATTCAATATTCTCAGCTCTAACATGGGTAAGGTTACCTATGCTATTTCCCCCATATAAATGTGCTTTATAAAGCAACATTTTGAAGACTGTTTTCAGTTTCAGTTTCAAAACTCTTAGAATCAGTTTGTATTAAACTAAGAGGAACTGCTTGTTTATTTTGAACAATGACAAAGTAAGTATTATAAATGAGAAAAAGCTGTATCATCTATATTTTCATTTATTCTTGGTATATAAATTATCTTGGTTAGTGTGAGTAGTAGTATTTTATTCATTTTGACATATCCCTAATCACAGTATTTCCCATATACTAGAAATAAAAATCTCTGTGCCTCAAGCCTGTACTAATCGCCTTTTAGTTAAATTCTTGGAATAACATAGTCAAATAAATGTGCATAGATCTCCAATATGAGAAATTAATTTCTTACTTATATTGTAAGTAAATGTGTTTACATTCAGGATGCAATCCTAAAGACAGAAGTAAGGATCATTCCATTCAATTATTATGAGCACTGTGTTTTTATATAATACTTTTCATTTAGACTTCCCCTATACCTGTTTATGTAAAAGTTAACTTTGTTGAACTGAATAGGGTTTACTGCTGCATAAACATCCATAGGGTAGTGCTTTTACATATTTTATCACATTCCCTTTTATAATAAGCTACAGAAGCTACAGATTTTATAATCTGAAGGTATATGATGGTATATAGTGTTTTAAATTATGCAAGGGACTATGCAAGGGATTTGAAAGAAAATCTGACCAGGAACCTGACCCCCTCTGACTTTTCTAAAGGAAACCGTAATCTTAAAATGCAACCCTTGTGACGTAAGGAACATATTCGCAACTTAATGAGCTTCTACTGCAAGTAAATGTGCAAGTAACTGAGGTATCGATTGACATATAAACTCAGCAACAAGAATACAATAATCTTCCTAACCTTACTTAAATATAACATATAAACACAGGGGGGTGACTTTTATTCATTTGTGAATAAACTCTGAATATTAAAATTTTTACCTGTAACTAATTTCTCAGTTCAGAAGATATACGTGTGTGTGTGTGTGTGTGTGTGTGTGTGGATCATAAAATGACTTTTTCATTCCTCATTTCCCCCAAATTATAGAAACTCATGTTTCAGTGTAGCCCTCCTCTCTTAGAGCCTTACCACCCACTGCTTCAGTTATGAGAATAACTTCATCCTATGATGTGTTGCCAAAGTATACATGAAAGTTTCTGAATGAGTACACCAAAATAAGTACTAGGACGGTACGTTTGCAACGAAATGGGACAGTCTGGGTCTGTAAAAATTGCTTTGTGGCAGGGGAGTTAAAGTGCCTGCATAAATCTATAGATTCCACATCCCACAGCTATACTAATTCTTGTGTGTATAGCATCCTTAAGGATTTAGGAAAAAATGAAAAAAAACCCATAATATCTATCACTAGCATTCATGACATAATATAGCAAATAACATTATTTCAAGCGCTTGGGTAGAAAAGATTTTTCATAGAATGCCACTTCTTTGA